TATTCTATTCTATTCTATTCTATTCTATTCTATTCTATTCTATTCTACTCTACTCTACTCTACTCTACTCTACTCTACTCTACTCTACTCTACTCTATTCTAATAATTCAAATTCAAATTCAAATTCTAATTCTATTCTGTTTGTGTAGTATGGCAGCATATGTGATTGTTACCCTATAAGCAACTTTCTTGGTGTGCCTGACAACCTCTCTCCCCCTCCCCCAATGCATGCAGGAGCTGAACGACATGCAAGTGAGCATCCACAGCCAGCAGCAGGTGCAAGTGGAGGTGGAGCAGGCTAAGCCAGATCTGACTGCCGCCCTGAAGGAGATCCGCACTCAGTATGAAAGCATTGCGGTCAAGAACCTGCAGGAGGCTGAGGAGTGGTACAAATCCAAGGTGCCTAAATTATGGGGGTGGTGGTGGTGGATAAGAAGAAGATGGGGTTACCGCGCGATTAACAGGATGCCTTCATGAAATGTAGAGAGCAAGAAAGAAGACCTCAACGGGAATATGCAGGATGCATTATTGATTTTTATTAGATTTAGATGCCGCTCTGTCTCACTGTCCCATGGCAAGAGAGGCTGGAGGGTTGTTTTTTTTAAGTCCAGGACAAAGAGATTACATTTGGAGTAGTAGGACCTCTGTAATTCATGGAGCAGTGTTTCTCTCAAGCTTAGCCACTTTGAGATGAGATGAATTCCCAGAATTCACCCAGCCAGTAGGGGGAGCCCTAACACTGAATAAACGCTGTCTCTTTTGAAGCATCAAGAAAATAGCTGTTTAGTGGAAGAGGAATGTTCTTATTACCGTAAAACTTATTGATATAGCAAAATAATAAACCACTTAGGGTACAGGTTGACCCCCTCCTACTTCTGGAGGGTTTACTTGACATGTGGCATAACGCCTCTTCGTCGTTCTTTAGATGCATGCACTGCTGTAAGACAGTGTGGCTTGGTTGGTGCTTGTCATGAGTGAGTTCCATTAATAATGTATATAGTTTGTGGTGTGGGTCAAAGAAAGTAGAGGGACAGCCCTAAATCAGACTGATGATGCTGGCTTCCTGTGTATCAGATTTTCCTGACTGAGGGAAATCCAACCACTGCTGTAGAATATTACAGGTAATCCTTGATTTATATGACCAGTTGCTTAGCAACTGTTTGAAATTATGACAGAGCCTGAAAAAAAAAATTGTGAGTCTGTTCTGACATTTGCCCCTCCTCCACAATCACGTGATTTGCAGTTTCCCCCCTTGCAGCCAAGCCAGCCCGCATTTATTAGGGCCGTTTGCAGCACCCCACAGTAACGTGACTGTGATTTATGATACACATGTCAGAAAACGGGTTTACTTTTGATTTCCAGCAAAACCAAGCATAGCGAACAATAGGTTTGCTTAACAACCACCACAAGAAAGATCATAATATTGGGTCACATGGCAATCCACTTTACAATCATCATGACTTATGACTTTAGTTGCGGGCTGAATTACGGTTGTAACTTGAGGATTGCCTGTATAAAGAATGGGTCCAATGCTGTGGCTATTCTGTGAGATTTCCACAGAGGGAAAAGAGGCTCTTGAGAAAAGTTCTGTGTGGACCTTGGGCTTGTGTTGTCAATTCCCCTCCAGCTAGATAACTGTGAATGAGTTCAGCGTGGGTCTGCTTAGGAGTTGTTTTGGGGTTCCTTCTTTCCTTTCTCCTGATGTTCCCAAATTCTTGGCTTGTGAAGCAATGATTAGAATGCAGTATTGCAGGTTAATTCGGCATTTCACTGCCAGGAGTTCGATTCTCACCAGGCTCAAGGTTGACTCAGCCTTCCAGCCTTCTGAGATTGGTAAAATGAGGACCCAGATTGTTAGGAGCAATATGTTACCTCCATAAATCATTTAGAGAGGGCTGTAAAGCACCGTAGAGCAGTGTGATGACCTGGAGCATGGCACAAAGGCAACACAGTCAGATAATCAGTAGGAGTCCCTTTATTAGCTTCAACTTTGCCCCCAATGTCCTGGTCACCTTCTGGTCTGGAGAAAAACTCTCCCAGGAACAGCCTTTGGCTGCAGAGAGTCAAGTCCAAAACGTGGTCAACAAAAACTGTAACTATAAGTCCAATCAAGGCAAGATGAGGTAATTGGTCCGACAGGGCAGGAGAAGGAATTCCAGACATGAAGGAACAGCTGTAATTCAACACAGTTGGCAGGTTGCCAGGAACGCAGATCACCAAAGTCAACACAAGATTAACTCACATTTGTTCCCAGCAGCATTCATGTCTTTTAAACTCTGTTCCCAGGTGTGACTAATGAAGGGAATCAGGGCCCTTTCCTTCCCCGTAAGCCATTCCCCACTTTCCTCCACAGCCAACGGAGCCACACTCCCCCTCCATGTCAGCTGTTTGTCTTCCTCCTCGGATTCAGACTCCGAGAGGGGCATGACAAGCAGTATATCAGTCTAAAAGTGCTACTGCTATGGCTGTTCTTTGCAGTTTGCTGACCTGTCAGATGCAGCCAATCGGAATCACGAGGCCCTTCGCCAGGCCAAACAGGAGATGAACGAATCTCGCCGTCAGATCCAGACCCTGACCTGTGAGGTTGATGGACTCAAAGGAACAGTGAGTAAAACACTCCCCCTGCTATCAACCTGGGTCAGTAGTAAATGGGTGGCCAAAGAACGAGAGGGAAAATCACAGGTCAGCTGGCAATGATGTTTTAGCTTCCCCATTCCTTGCTGTGCACGGTGAAATCCCAAAGGAAAGCTTGATTACAACACGCAATCAAATTATGTCCACCACTTAGGCCATTTGCAGACTCTGGCTATGACCAGCAAAAACCCTGTATGATATTAGGATCAAGGATTTTGAGAAGCCACATTCCTTCACCTGAGCCTGCCTGGGGTTTTGAGATCTTCAGTTAGAAAGCATCTTGGCTCTGCTTTATCAGCAAACTGGAGCAAGTTTGATAGGAATGCAGAAAGTGCCTTCTTGGGGATGGCTTCTCCCAAGCTCTAGAATCACTAAATTGACTCTGCTTTCTGCCACTTCCTGGTAGTGGCAAAGTCCTTGGTCAGGCAGTTTTGCGGGCCTTAGGATGATTTGTCAGTAACTGAAATAGGCTTGGATAAGTAGCTGCTGTTCATTTTTTAAAAATTCAGTTGTATTTTAATCAAATTTTTGTACTTGGTTGTTGGTAGCCTCGAGCACCGTTTATGATGGAAAGGCAGACTGTAAATGCAATAAATACAATAAAACGAAGAGGGGAAGCCACCTTCAGGGCTCTCAAGTTATCTGGACGTAACTGTTTTCAAAGTCTTGTTGCGACTTGCTCTCCATCTTGCTAGAATGAAGCCTTGCTGAGACAGATGCGAGATCTTGAGGACCAATATGGGGCTGAGGTGGGCTCCTACCAAGAGACAGTGGGGCGGCTGGAGCAGGAGATCCAGCACATGAAGGAAGAGATGGCTCGGCACCTGCGGGAGTACCAGGACCTGCTGAATGTCAAGATGGCTCTTGATATTGAAATTGCCACCTACCGCAAACTGTTGGAAGGAGAGGAAAGCAGGTAGGTCAACCAGTGGTCAGATCCTGCCCTGCTCATCTTTTAGGTTCATGGGCACATTGTGAATGTCCTGGGCGCCCCCGCGGAGTGGCTACTGCAGGCAGCAGGGTAAGACACAAAACAGTGGAAAATGTAAATTGGTTTTTGGGGGAGACAAGGACTTACCCAAGAAACTGAGCATGAAGCAGACGTGAAGGTTGAGTCACAAAGTTTATTCATTGGGCGCCACCATTTTCTGCTCCAACGCAACATTTGTGCTGGTGGGTGCGGTCTCTTGTAAGGCCTTCCATCTAGCCTTCTGCAATACGTTGCCCTCCAGAAGCCTTGGGATTTGCAATTTTAAGAGGTCCTAATCAGCACAGACAGGGACCACCAACTGTGTGGGAGGCGGTTCTAATGCACCTAGAGAGCACCAGGCTGCAGAAGGTTGACCATCCCAAAATTTCCTGTCCCCACCCAACCCACTTTCTTTCTCTGAAACTTTAATTCAAACAAATGATTTCTGCTCCTCGCTCCTAAAAGTGCCCAGTTTTTTCTTTTCCTAACCTTCCTGATAGGTAGGCACTTCCCTCTGTTTCCACCTAACTTGCTCTAATGCTCTCCCCTCCATCTCCTCTCAGCATTTTCATACCTGGGCACGTGACCCTCAGACCAGGTGTATGCGGGAAAGTCTCTGGAACAGGGGTCTCCAACTTTGGCAACTTTAAGACTTATAGACTTCAACTCCCAGAATTCCTCAGCCAACTTTGCTGGCTGAGGAATTCTGGGAATTGAAGTCCACAAGTCTTAAATTTGCCAAGGTTGGAGACCTGCTCTGGAATATAGGCCAGTCTTCTTTTGTGGGATGCCCGGCGTGTATTTCAGAGAGTAGGAGGGGTGAGCACCGGAAAGTTAATCTACAGCTGTCTTGGTTGCAGCTACAGCATTGGAAAAGATACTTATTTTTACTTAGTTCTGAACAAACTTTCATAGGAGTATGTGAGGAGGAAGGTGGCCTTCTCCTTTTCTAGGAGGGATGCAGAAAAGTCGTTTAAATGGAAACGTTTGGAAATTAATTTGTAGAAGTTTCTGTAATGTTTACTGGCCTGTATGTTCCCTGCAGGATTGCAGTGCCTGTCCAATCCATGGCATCTTACAGCTTCAGACCCGCAGGTAAGCCAATTAGCCAGCATGGGTCCCCAATGAACCCGCATGCTTTGGGTTGTTTGACAAAGTTGTGGCTTCTGAAAGAGATGGTAGCACTGGCATAGATGTCAGCAATATTCTGGTTGGACCCAAGCATCTCATTGGCCATATTTTGCACACACTTTTTTTTTTTCCTACTGAGCAATAATTTGACGGGAACAAACTTGGTTTTCAAAGTTCCCTTATCTCAAGTTGTGCAGGCAATCATGCCTTAGTCTAAGTTGCTTTTTCTTGGAAAGAAACCCCAAGGCTCCTTTGTTCCTCCCACACCTCTCCACTTTCCTTTCTTTCTAATTTCTCCCAGCTGGTAGCCAAAAGTCTTTCATGACGGAAGTGTGAGTTAAAGAAGGCAGCTGATCTGCTGGGTGTTTGGGAGTTGTAGCCCTCAGTCCCCTGCATGACCCTGGATAGGAAAGGAGAGAGGGGCCTTGAATGCTGAGCCTTTTCTCCCTCAATCCTCCCTCTTCCTCAGTTTCAGAGCCGGATCCAAGTGTAGAGAGCCACACCCGGAAGACGGTGCTGATCAAAACCATTGAAACCCAGGATGGAGAGGCAAGTCAATGACTTGTTCAGACTGGAGATTTGCATGACAGAGGAACTCGGAGCAGAGGTGTGATTTTTAAGCTGTGGCGATTGGACCTAAGCCTAGGCCCTAGGGTAGGGGTCTTTAAACGTGGCAACTTTAAGACTTGTGGACTTCAACTCCCAGAATTCCTAACCTGACTGGAGGAGGAATTCTGGGAGTTGAAGTCCACAAGTCTGATGACCCTTTGCCCTAGGGCAGGGGTCCCCAACCACCGGTCCCCGGACTGGGACCGGTCTGCGAATCATTTTTTACCGGGCCGCAAAGCTTGGGTGTCGCCATCTTGTTTCGACGGCGCTTCCGAGTTTTTGGTTGCTTCCGGGTTTTCGGTTGGAAAGCGGCGTTTGGGTGCTCGCGCCTTAGTTTTGTCGAAGTGGGTGGTGGCTTTGAATGAAGAGCCGTCCCGATGGCAGTGGAGTCTCACGTTACTTAGGTACCGGTCCGTGGAAGAATAAATAATTATGAAACCGGTCCCTGGTTCAAAAAAGGTTGGGGGCCACTGCCCTAGGGCATAGCAAAAAAACCTCCAGAGGCCAAATTAGGGTTTTGCTGTTATTTCAGTCAGTCAAAAGAAGCCTGACTTCATAAAATTCCCAAGGGGCGCCAGGTTGGGGAAGGATTGCCCTCTGCTGCTCTCACGGCTTGGCCTTTTCTCTCCCTGCAGGTGGTGACCGAATCAAGGAAGGAGCAGAGAGCTGAGATAGAGAAGTGAGGCTGGCCACCCCAGCAAGGCCCCCTGGGCCACTGAGAGAGGCACTTAGCTCACCTCTTTGCAAAAGTCCCAGTCGCAGATCCCTTCTTCCCTCACTAAGCCACACTGGCCTTATTTACGATGGTGATGGTGACGATACCTCTTACCACTGGCAGCCTTCCCACACTGTTCCAGGCTTCCTGAACCATCCCTCTCTGCCCTTCGGACCGTACTCTGTTCACAGCCTGGTGGTAGTCCCAGCAATAGCCACCAATGATCTTGGGAGTGGAGATGGCTTCCCCCTGCTCTTGTCTTCCATCGCCTCCTACCTCTTTGTATCACATTCCTTCTCATCTCTCCCCGCAAAGAGCCCTTCTCCAACCAGTACCCCCCAAACCAAGCTGCCTTCCTGTAAAGTACCACTCACAAAGCCAGCCCACCCTAGGAACCAATTAGCCAGGTGTGTTTAGGTTGAATCTAAAGGCTGTGGCCTTCCAGTTGTTTTGGAATTAAAATTCCCAGCCTCCTAAAAATCATACAGTGTGTTGCTGGCACTTGTAGTTTAGCAATAGCTGGAAGGTCCCAGGATCCCTACCACTGCCAAACAATTCGGTGGCTGCAGGTTGGCAAGCTCCACCAACCTGCAAGGCCCACTAAGCACACCATCTTGGAAGCACCAAAGAAGGCCAGGAGCTTGCTCATAACTTTGTTTTTACTGCTCTTGTTGAATCTAAACAGTTCTATGTGCCGGTCACAGAGAAAACCCCCTCATGGTTTACAACAGGGGTCTCCAACCTTGGCAACTTTAAGCTTGGAGGACTTCTACTCTCAGAATTCTCCAGCCAGCAAAGCTGGTTGGGGAATTTTGGGAGTGGAAGTCCACCAGGCTTAAAGTTGCCAAGGTTGGAGACCCCTGGTTTACAAAGATTCCCAAGAGAATCACGATAGGAACTTGCTTTATCAAGATGCAATAGGCTGGGCTTCCCAATTGGTTCTCACTTCTGTGAACTTACGTTGAGAGGGTGCACCGTCAAGCTTCAGGTCATCTGTACTGACAGGGAGAATAGCACCGGACAACTTTATTTGAAGGTTGGCTAGGTAATGCAACTAAAGCATTTTAAACATTAAATGATAACCAGTATTAATTTCCTCAGTTGTCAAGCCCCAATCTGGTTCATTCCAGATGTGTTGACTTCAATTCTCCTAATTCCTAAGCAGCATGATGCTAGCTGGGGCTGAGAGTTAATTAAATGCATCAAGGGAATGTAGGTGGAGACTACTACTTCAGATCTTCTCAAACAAGCTCCCAAATGAAGTCATATATATAAAAAAAAGATGATTCACTGTCTTTTATTGTTCAAAGCAAATTTTGTAAGGGAAGCTTAAAAAAAAAATCTGCAGAATAAGCCTTCTGACTGTTGGTCCGTTGTTTCCCAATACTGAAGGGTGCTAGTGGTAATTTTTAGAAACTGATCTGGTAGGTGTTTATTCGGAAGCCTCAAGCCTTTCTTAACCATTTGACTTCCTTCCATTCAAAAATGATTTTTCATTGCACTTTTAAAAGTGATGTCAACTTTGCCTTCTGAGACATAAGTGAAGCTAGAAAGCTGCCTTACGCTTGAAATTGTGAGTCACAGAAGAGAACATTTTCCTGTTCAGCTTTTTAATGTCCCCATGTCCAATAAGCAACCTTTTTTCTGCTCCCTTTCAGAGAGAAAGGACCAGAACAGGGTGAGACCGCCATGGAATTCCCCTTCCTCTGCATGGCATATAATTAAGGGTTGTGTTGTGCAGGCAAAGAAAGAAGATGAGCAGCTCTAGAAAACTGAAAAACATCAAACAACCGCCTTTAATTCACAGGGTCAAACAAACTACAGAACCAAAAAAAAAAAAGGAAAAAAAATGCCTACTTCCAGTGGTGCTGACTCACGGCCTTAATAAACAGCGATGCCATCATGCGTGAAAAGCACCCAAGACTCCTGGCTAGCAGAAATGGTCACAAAGCTCTCAGTGCATCTCCTGATTCCCTTGTCTTATGATCTTGAGAACCCCGGGGGACTGTGTGAATGCAATCTCAGTTGGGTGCCTAATGGCCAAAATGGGAGTAACATGTCCTCCATTTGATTTAATATAATCCCAAAGGGCAAAACACTTTTAAAAGGCTATAGTGAAGTCCTATCTTACCTTCTCATCCTATTGCCATAGGGTCAGAAAAGAGACTGGAGAGTCACTTGTCTGGAATGGTCTAGGGTCTCCTGGTTGAGCAGGGGGTTGGACTAGAAGACCTCCAAGGTCCCTTCCAGCTCGGTTCTGATTCTGTCATGTCCTTTGTCTACTTATGGCCCTCAGAAATTATTGCCTATCTTTGCTTCATGTGTATCTGTGGCTTCTCATAAGAGATAGCACCAACCGCTTCTTGCCAGTCTGTCCATTTTTAATCAAATCCAGCTTTTTTTTCTCAGACGGACATCTTTCACACGTCGTCTTTTTTTCCCTCTTATCTTGCTTTGATATTCCAGACTTCGTCTCTTCAGATAGGGTACAGTGACCGTTGCATTTCTGCTTCTAACTTGATTTTTGTCATCCCTGAAGATAGGCCAGGACAGGAAGCAGAGTCCACAACTCAGACCACAGGAACTCTACTAAGTTATATTAACAGATTTTTGAAAGACTGACAGATTTTTTTCCTCTCTGCTTCTGCTGTACCAAAGAGAATCTACATGGGCCTGGGTTTCCTCACCTCCCATTTTTCATCTTGAAGTAAACAAATTGATGTTTACTCAACTATTCTTGTTTTTGTTTTTCAAGTTCTATTTTCATATTTCTGTACATTCTCTGTCTTACTGGAGAAATCTACCATAGAGCTTTCTACCTTAAACTCAGGAGTCATCTTGATAAGAAGTCTCGTCGCCGCATTTCTCCAGATTTATTCAAGAAGGAAACTTCAGGAAGATGCTTCTCTGTGGACGTTTGGTTCATCCCCCACAGTTCTCTCAGACCAAGACCAGCCAACTTTTTAATGGGTGGGGCCGATACTTATTTTTATTTTAAGGGACAGGGAATGCAGGGAAATTACAGAAAGGATGAAGCTAATTTTTGAAGGCATTCTTTTGGCTCGAAGTGCCATCTTTGCTTGGTTTGAATTGCTACCAAATCGTACGGTGCAAGGAGTCATGAAATGGTACTTGAGTTCCTTATAATCTACACATGGATCATAGGATGGATTGGATTATACTTGTCTTTGGAAATAGGAATTTCTGAAACAGAAAATCTCACTTAACCTTGATGACTTTTTTTAGTGAGTTAGTAGCTGAAAGTAGTCTCTATGATTATGCTTTCTCCTTTGATCTCCCCGCCCCGCTCCTGCCGCATCACTGTTATTTATTCTTGATTTCTTAAACCTCATTAATGGTCCAGTAGGGATGTTAATTCTTTCCCTGAAAATCAGTAAATGCTAAAATTACGGAAATTCTTGGAATCTGGTCTAATAGAAGTTACGTTAATATCAGATTTAAATTGCTTAGTTGAGGTTAGGTAACCTCTGCCACATAGAAGCATTTCTGGTCATGATTGCTTACAGTGGACTGTCCAGTTTCCCTCCACTTTGAGAGATAAAAAGACCAGGGAACTTATCAAAAAAGGCATATTGGGGGACTTCCCATGACTTCCCGGCATTGAGTGCTGCCCCTTGGTGGCCAAAGGGGTAACTCACCTTCGATAAAAACTAACTTACCTGATTCAAGACAGATTTGAAAACTGAACAGAAGTTCACAAGTCTTCAAAATATTTTCCCAATAATAGTCGAGAAACCTCGGTGCTATTGAGATAGCTTTACCTGTCTTCTTCTGTATTACTCCAGAGGCTTTTGTTTCCAGTCTTTCAGATCTTTTGTAACTTTTTTCCCTCTGCCAACTTTGTAATTTTTCTGTCCTTTTTCTGTCCCTGTCCTGTTGTTAAAAATCAGAAATTGAACGGGGACCCTACTACGGTTTTATTCAAGTTTACTTGTAAGAATTGGAGGAAACTTTCAAGATTGTGTTTCCCTGATCCCATTTTGCAACAAGTTCAGTAACAGCTTGCTTCAACTATGCTACCTACTGCACACCTTCAGGATCAGTAATTTCTAGTCGACTTAAGGCACAGATGTCTCTGGTCATAAAGTTGCCAACTGCCAAATCCAATTTAATGATTCTGAGGGAAACTAGGACACTGCCTTTCTGGCTATTTTATCTTTTTACCTATATTTTTCCTTCTCTGTTGAGGGACAATTTTAAAAGTCTCAGTAGCTACAGTACACCAGAGCAGGAAAAGAAAAAGTTGATGACACAGGAAGTACACAATGTCATGTTATCTAATGGATCTTCCCACCACAAGTCTGGCTCATCAGCCTATGTCCAGGCAGAATCTTACTTTCATTTCGTCCTTCCAATGTTTGCTTTTTATAGCAGATAGTTTAGCATTTTATTTTTTGTGAGTGTGAAACAACTTTATTATATGCTACCTACACAAAATTAAATTTTAGACCACTACTGAAGTTGGCTTTCATTGTAAAATACAAGAAATTTTCCCCACGGGGAGCATACCATTTCCCCACTTTCCTAGCCAGACTAATCCTACAAATTAACTAGGAACAATAAAAAGCATGATTTGATAGTAAGCAAGATGGCTTAAAATGTTGAGAAAACAGCAGCCTTGTTTCCTTGCACAGAAGCACAGATGCATAAATCTTGCCAGCTTTAAAACACTTAAGCTTGGAAGTGGCTATTCCGTGACTCGGGATGGGTTCCAAGCTTGAGATTTCTGGCAAGGTAGGAACGGCATCAGAACAACTTCAACAAGTTTCGATGTTGCCATATTTTAATCCGTTTTACTTCTTGGCCTTCCAGCCTGCATTCCCTTGTAGAGATCAGCATACAATACCCATTTCTGTACAGGGTGGAGGGACCTAAATAATATTTCCTGTGATTGGTTCCTTATAAATGGCTCTGGCACATTACAGAACTCCAGTTTGGATTCTGATACTTTGCACCTTCCCCCCCTTTATCCCAAAAATAAATGATAGGTTTTTGAAAAGCTCCGGGCTTATCCTTTATGGGCTTTGGTACTGATTTCCTGCTTTTGATAGCTGTCAATTTCCATGTTCCTTGCAGAGCTAGTAGAGATTCCTGGTGCTAACTCTTCCCATGCCATTGGATCTCTGCATCACTCCTGCTGTGCTATGCTAATCCTGTCCGATCCCAATTCCTGCCCTTGGATATCCACATCAACTGGCTCTCCAGAGCACCTTTCCTTGCAATTAGGCTTGCTTTATTAAATATCTAGCTTGGGGTTTGCCAGGTACCAACTCAACCTATTACAGTACATATTCTGGTGAAGAAGCAGGATACATGGAGACTGGGAGGGGTGGCAGTCATTCTGTTCCTGGTGCTTTCTTATCTCCTGAATAATGTTGGTTTTGTGATGCCCATGGTCAGTGTGTGGAATAGGTCACGTATGCTTTGAACCAGCCAATAAATTTAATGTGAAGAGTGTCTTGCTGCCTATTTTTTGGGGTGTGTGTGACTATGTGTGTGTTTTGAATGTCAACAGAATCTTCCCCACAGAAGGTCTGGTGATGTTTGATTTTATTAAAGCCTGGAGGCTGCTGAAAACCTCTGCTAACTTCGCTTAGATTTGTCAAGCAACACAAAAAGGACACTACTTTACCATTTAAAAACTTTTCTGTGACCTGATTCGTGCATTGCAGTAAGGCAAGGGCCTTCAAATTTGGCAAGTATAAGACTTGTGGACTTCAACTCCCAGAATTCCTGAGCTAACATGACTGGAGGAGGAATTCTGGGAGTTGAAGTCCACAAGTCTTACACTTGCCAAGTTTGAAGAGCCCTGCACTAAGGCCTAGCTTCTAATGGTTGCACATGTGAACCCAACCAACTGAATTTTGGTTAATAAGCCATAATTTTAAAAAACATGGCTTGACATAACAGTGATGAACTGTCTCTTTCAGTTCAATAGTTCACATAGTTGGACAGAAAAGACCTTGAGCAGCACATATGGCCCCAAAGCAGCCAATCCAATAAGTTGGCTTAACTCCATGATTAAATACTAGCTAAACTACTTTCTGGAAACACTGACTTAGCAAAAGTTGAGTGTGGCTCATAAAAGCTCCAAAAGTATCAAAAGTGTAACAGTTAAAAATCAAACATATGCATTATGCAAAAACAGTGAAAGTATAAAAGCTATGGCTTTATGCTGTGCTTTAGGTAAGATACCAGAACTTCATCCTCATCTAATGAGCAATCTGAAAAAAAGGTCAACAGACACCTGATTCAAAGCCTGAAGAGATTGAAACTCACCTGAAAACAATGTGATGGACCTTTTAACAATTTTGCATGAAGCAAGGGTAGGGCTCAATGGTCCAGCTGCTTGGATGACAGGCCATTGTTACTTTTGCTTGACAAAAACTCTTAAAAGCACATTTGATAAGCAGCCAAAACTTAGTGAAAAGTGATCATTAGTATGACTTGGTCCTCAGGTATAACCTCCTGGAAGCCTTGGTTTTATTCTCACTTATTAACAATAAGGTGCATCTGAAAGAAAATGTTCTGATTCAAGTCACATGGACAGCAATAGGTGCAAGTGGAGTATGTCTATTGCACAATAAGCAATAAATTCTCAGGCAAATGCCATCATCCCCCACAAGAAAACTCCCCAAGGCAAGACCAAATTCAGATGCAAATCCAAGTTCGGGTCCAGGTCCAAAAAAAGCTGACAAGATAAACTTAAGGATCACAGCCAAAATCAGGACACAGGAAGCACAGAGCCAAAGATAACACTCAGGAAAACTAATGTTTGTCTTCACCAAGCACTCCTTCCTGCATGCTACTAATCATCAGCTCTCCCGGTTAGTGGGATGGGGGTGTGTCAGCAACTATTCATCATAGGAGGCATCCTGGTAAAGCCATAAGGCACCCATATGGCAGCCATACCTCTTCTTTCTCCAGGCTGTAGCTGTCCTGCTGATCATGCCCCCCCCTCCGCCCCATGCCTGATGGATCTGGGACTGCATCCTTCTCCATCCCCAGGCTTCTCTGAGTGCTCCTGGTCAGGTGTTTGATGCCCCGGTTCCAGTTCATCCCCTTCTCCAAGTCAGCAACCAATGGGGCTATCACAGAAACACAAATTGGTAGGAAAAAAACAGGGGTCACCTAAGGAGGGTTTAGAGAAAACACCTTTCAGACTTTTGGGGGTTTTAAGCAGGTGTTAAAAAGGTTACCACAGGGATAAATGGCTTGTTGCAGCCAAGTGTTTATAATGACGTTGCCTTTTGACCCTTTGATGTTCCCTCTTCAGCTTGGCACTGGCGGAGCGCAATCTGCTCCAAGGACAGCATCAGATGGGAGCATTTGGGGCGGTACACCCATCAAACTTGTAAGGCAAGTGTTCCAAGACAAGCTCAGGGAGGACAGAAACCACCATTGGAGCAGAAGGGCAAAAACTCGCTCGATCTTGCTTTCAGTAGAAATACAGACCACGAACGATCTTTCTGACTTTGGGGGTTTGACATCAAAACTGGCTACGTTTATGTGGACTGTTTCCTAGTATGATTTGATTGCCTGTTTGTACCCTATGACTATTATTAAGTACCTTATGATTCCTGACGAATGTATCTTTTCTTTTTATGTACATCGAGAGCACCACATGCTCCAAGACAATTTCCTTGTGTGTCTCATCACACTTGACCATCATTCATTCAATCAATCAATAAACCTCCCTTTTATTCTCTTCCGGTCCTTGCCCACCCCAGAACTCCCTTCAACATTCTGGCCCCGCCTCCTGGCAGACCACGTGATCGCTCGGGAGAGCCAATCGGCGCCTTCTGCTGCTTTATGAACTGAGCCGGCGGCTGCGGCTCGCTCGCTTTGCCAGCGGAGGGGATGGTCCGGAGCAGGTGAGCAACGAGGGGTGACCCCCGCTCCCCTCCGGCTGAAAGGCGGGGGTGGCGAAGCATAAGCAGAGTTCACCTGAGAAGCCCCCCCTCTTTTCTCTCTTTCGGGAAACGGTGTAGAGCAGAAGGCGGGGCTGTAGCGAGACCGTTACGCTGGTGTCAAACCTTACCCTGACACCTTTTAGCTGCAAACGGGTCGGCTGAGCTTCGGTCGCCCCTCCTCAACGTCAAGGGGAGTGGGGCGAGGAGCTGCATTTATCTGTGGGGGTAACTAGGATTTATGCCTTGTCCTACCTATAGAAACGCCATGGCGGGTTTTGTGGGTTCTTCCCACGAAGCATTAACTGAGTTAACCCAGTTCCTCCTTAGTCTCGAAGTATCGGTTACTGTAACATCATTGAGCTGTAAGCCAATCAGGGTCTTTTAGTTCGGGGGTCTCCAGCCTTGGTAACTTTAAGACTTGTGGACTTCAACTCCCAGAATTCCTCAGCCAGCTTTGCTTTGCCGGCTGAGGAATTTGCTGGCTGAGGAATTCTGGGAGTTGAAGTCCACAAGTCTTTAAAGTTGCCAACTTTAGTTTTAGTTTGTTAGTAGTCTGTTATGTGGACTCGGCATAAAAGCGCTGGGATTAGGGGAGGCGTAATTGACCAAGTGCTAATGGCAGTGGATGTAAACAAAAATGCACAGCGAATAGAAACTATGACTGTGGGGGAAAAAAAGGCATATTGGACTACTCACATTGTATTCCACCCTGGTAATGCTACAGTGCTTGCTTTCTTGCTTTTGATGTAGGTACAAACCCAGGCCGACAGGATCCTAAATGGCTCCAGTAGGAAAGGAAAACCAGCAAATATCGTTACCTTTTCCAAAGACCCCTGACAAACCAAATTGGAAGGAAAACACTTTGCTGGCTGGAGGCACTTTGAGCAGCAGTAAGATCCCGGTGCTTTCCAAAAGCAGACACCCTGCAGAGTGGAGACAATCCCAGCCACAGGTGAACATGGGGTCCCTTTTGACGTAGGCTTGTATGGTTTTAGGTTTCTGCTTCTGTTTGTTTTGGTACTTGGCTGTATGTATGCTCTGTTCAAAATGGTTCTACTGGGAAAGGTGGGGGGGCTATAAATCTAGTAAAATAAATAAAGGAGCTTTGGGACACTGTCCTTTGGGATTCTGTTTCAGGCCCTGGTTGTTCACTGAAGGCTACTGTGCTCAGAGTAGAAGGGCCACCAATATGGGAGCAGAAAACCTGGCTTCAGGCTGGTTCTGGTCTACTCTAACTAGGTTACCACTATATATGTTTTTATAGGAAGACAGTTTAATCCTGAGTTTAATCCTTTTGTTCTCTCTGCAGCCATGTTCTTCCAAAGCGAGGACTTGCAAGATGTCTCATTCCAATCCAGTTCTGGAAGTGGCAGCTGGGTTACCCCCCAAGACCCCTATCAGAGAACCCTTATCAGACATGCAGTTAACCACCTCTGGTTATAGGAATAAAAGTGATGTATCTCATGGCAAAGGTATAAAGTTTATTGTTCCACACCCATCCTCCTGACCTTCTGTAAGGGCCTAAAGGCCTGGCTCTGCCAGTTGGCCTGAGCCCCAATGGGAGCGCATCACACTGGAGATGGCTAATGGATTAAAACAAGATTCCACCTCACTCTCGTGTGCATCCTGCTCCCTTCATCCCCATCTCTTCATTGTAAATTGTTACTATTTATTGCAATGTTGTATTGGCTTTTAATGTTTGTAAGCCACCCGGAGTTGGCTGTAGGTGAGATGGGTGGCAAGAAAGTCTTATTATTTATTGAGATGGATCAGTTTTTGTACATCATTTTTAACTTGATTGAATGAACCACCACTTGATAGAATTTTGGCTCTCTGCTTAGCCATTGGAGGCAGCTAACTTTGGATCTGATGGACAAGTAACTAAGTTAGGAGATGGTATTGTTAAATTTCAACTCCCACTGACTCCCAATGTTGCTAATAGCTGGGAATTATGGAAGTTATATCCTCAGCAAAGTTTTGTGAGTCACAGATGTCCTTCTGCAGTGCCAATACCTGCATATTTCAAGAAGAGCCTGGCTTCAGGATCTTTGTTCCTGTACTTGATAATCCATGGCTTGTTGGGTTGTGTGGAATTGTGGCTAATCGTAAAAATGACTGGTAGTGGTAGTTTGAATCAACAGCATATAATGCAGTACTAGGATGTTTTTTTTTTAATGAGGACTGGTTTGTAACTAAGTGATAATGGTAACTTCATATATAGCTTGATCTTGTGGATGAATCCACTGCTTCTGTGTGTCAACCACTATAAATTATCCAGATCAGTCTTGAAATTAGATTTTTTTGCATGGATAAATTATCTCCCTTTCTGCTTTCTGCTGCTTTTTAACCATAATAAAGGTTTGATTTGATATGGTTTGATTCCTTTCTGTTTGTGACAGGGCACACTTGGACGATGTAGCTCCTGTGGTATGCTATGAGGTTCACATGGAGCCTGTTTTCAATTGGAAATGAAGGATTTTAAAAAAAATCTAGTTCTTTCTAATTCTGCGTTTGAGTCCGGCTAGTGAAAAATGGTGCAGGCTTCAGGGTATCTTTTCTTGGTATGTGGTACCAGGCAGACTTTTCTTGGTATCTGGTATAATTAAGTGCTTGAGGCCTTTTCCTCCCCAAACAATTCCTTAACTGCGTGGCTAATGCAAATCCCAATTTTCTTTGCAGAAGTGAACTCAGTCGAGTTTGTTTCTGACCCAGAAGCTCTTGCCAGCATACTATCCAACACGGGGCTGACTCACCAGATGGTGAGTGCAGCTCACAAGCCCAGCCTGGCCCAGCGAGTTCCTCTGAAAGGGAAGAGAGCGTGCTTAACCAGCATTGGGGTAAGTCTCCATCATGGACAAGAATTTTGCTGGTCTCGCTTGTTTTGCATGTTCTGGTTTTTTGAGTTAAAATGGAGCAGTGCAGATATCCAGACTGCTTGTTTCTTTATGCAGTAGTTCAAAAGTAATGAGGGCCCTTAATTGCCCTTATGGTTCAACAGAGAAAATATGATAATCTTCATCTGGAAATGTCTGTGGAGATTCTCAGTCATCCGGATCATGGTTGTATCAAAGGTGACTTCAGAACTGAAGAAGCTTCTTGGATGAGAAGCAGGACATCTTCAAGGAAAAACAAAAGTCCAGTTGCCTTTTGGAAAAGCACCTTTGGGATGATCATTTGGAGATATATTATCTTAACTATCCTTTTTCCCTCCTTTGGCTTTATTGTGTGGGATGTTTGCAAAAGTTCTAGTTCCAGCACAATATCGGTTGGGAATGATGTACAAATGCAAGAATTCCTAACTAGGTTCATACCTGGTCATGATTATTGATAAACCATCAGCTTGGTTTTCATAACATGCAATGCTAAAGCCAAACTAATTTTCTTTTAATATAGCATGGTGCGTGAACCCAGTTATAATATGCATGCATAACTCTAGAATTAACACACACACACACACACACACACACATATTGATTTATATTTCCAACCTCGATTGCACAAGTGAAGCTGTTGATGCTCTTTCTGGAGATTGTTTGGCTCTGGATGGAGAAGGATTGACTTTAGCTCAATTGTGAAGAGATGGAATGGCTGTGACTCATATCTAATACTCTTTCTTTCTCCTATTTTCCCCACAATAACCCTGTGAGGTGGGTTTGGCTGGTCAGCCAGTGGGCTTTATTTGCCTAAGGTGGGACTAGAATTCACGGTCTCCTGGTTTCTAGCTCAGCACATTCACCAATACACCAGCTTTGCTCGCCTTAGGATTGAACTACTCCAGTGCATTCTACTCAAGGCCATCCTTCAAGACCATCTTTGCGGGTTCAAAATGCAGTGATATGATCAGTAACAGGCTTTTCACTATGCTTGCTAATTGATTTTTAGGTGCAATTCAAGGCCTCGTTTATTACCTATAAAGCCCTTCATGGCATCAGGCCTGGCTATCTGCAGGACTAACTATCTCCAATTGTCTGTCTGGTATTTTGCCTGCCTAGTATTTTCACACAGAGTGGGTATGTTTCAAGTCCTGTCATGCCCCTGGTGGAGACTGACTCTGAACAGTCAGAGGAGGACCCAGGTCCACCCCCTATCCATCCTAGGGCACTCAGGGAGGAGAGGATCAGGGAAAAACGTGGTCTACTCAGGAGGAGAGGGCCATGATCCTCTTCATGGGTTGCAGGTGTGAGATCTGCATTAGAGTTTGAACCTGTGTGCTAACAAAACGCTGGAGACAAATTAGTATTTTATTCCTAGAGGAGGTTTATCTTGGTTGGCGTTCTTCCAATGGACTGTACCTGGTTATCTTTCTGAAGTTGGTAATTCTTTATCCTGGTCTGTCGTGGAACTTTATTCAGTGCTGTTTGTTTTTGGTTTTTCCTTCATTATCTGCTCTTTGAATTTGAACTGTGTTTTCTTTCATTTGGAATGTTATTTGAAAATAGTTTAATCTTCAACTGTGAACAATTAAACAGTGAAGCCAAGCTGAAGGCATTAAAGGACCTTTATTTACATTTTGGTTTTTGTTATATTTCTGATATACTCCGGGTCATCACAAGTCCCCTTTATTTAAACATTGTCTCTTTATGGGACTGAATATGCCTTCTCACCCACAGCCCTTGCCCTCTGGAACAATATCCCACAGAGATGTGAATGGAGCCACTCTACCAGACTTCAGGATGGCCTCTAAAACCTGGCTTTGTTCCCAGACTGGTTTTATTTTCATTTTATTTATTAAATTGATTTATGTAGCTGCCCATCTCACAAAATATTATATTTGTGGCGGCCTTCTCAGGCTTTTATTGTATTGCTTTTAGTCTGGGCTGTCTTGTTTTATATTTCTGATGCTTTTAACATTTCAGCTGTGTAATTGGATTTAGTAAGCCTCCCAGAGTCTACTCGAGTGATTGGACATAACAAATGAAATTAATAGATAAGTATTCTGCTTACTGGGAAAGGATTCAGCCCATCCAAACTGCATGCCTATTTTGTTTTCTTTGTGGATTCTGCTTGCCGTTTTCCTAAGCCTAGAAAAAAAATCTTCGTGACAGGAACAGAGGCAAACTACATAAATAAAGTCCTCTGTCCTCAAATCCACTGCCTTTTCAGAGGCCCTTCCCCTGCAGATAAGATTGGCCTCCTTCTTTTACTTTTCCAGGAGGGCTTGAACACAAGATCCTTCAGGACCCCATGTTAACACAGAGCCAATCAAGTGGCTGGTTTGATTGTGTTTGTTCCTACTGTAGGGGAGTCCATTATGGGTTTCTGTACTGTGGAGGTTTAATTTGGTAAGCTGTTCAGAGTCCCTGTGTTTATATAGGCAGCCGTCACCTTATGATCACAGTTGAGACCAGGGCTAAGCAAGCAAGGTGGTTAAGTAAGTCACATCCAATTTTATGACCTACTTTTGCCTAGGTTTGTTAAATGAGCCATGGCAGCTATTAAGTGAATCATGAGGTCGTTAAGTGAGTCTGGCTTTCCCCATTGACTTTTCTTGTCGGAAGCCAGCTGGGAAAGTTGCAAATGGCGATCACATATTCCCAGGATGCTGTCACTGTCCTAAACAATGCATATTGCCAGGTGCCCAAATTTTGATCATATGACCTTGTGAATGCCGCTTTGGTTATAAGTGCGAGGACCAGTTGCAAGTCACTGTTTTCAGGGTCATAACTCTGAACAGTCACTAAATGAATGATTGTACATCGAGAACTACCAGTATAAATTTTTTTAAATAAATTATACCGGCATCCAAGCACTGTCTTTTTAAAAATGGAATGGGGACGTGTGTTCTCTCTTTGTAGGATGCCCATGGCTCCCTGGATACAGAGGCAGCTACGATGGACCCTTTCCGCATGTCCCATATTTCTACGTCTGCTTCAATAGGTACGACTTAATCTGGATTTCCCTTCTTGGGCAAACAGGCTGCAGTCTTAAGATTTATTCATGAAGTTCTCATGATACAATTAACGAGGACTTCGAAACGTCTGAAGACCATGCTTACAGGCATTGGAAAAACCGCTGGTGCTATATCATCCATTTGATTTTTTTTTCTTTGTCCCTTCACAGATTTGGATCAGCCAAGCAACGTTCATGGGGACAAGATGTCGACACAAAGGTGAGAAAAGAGCCAAATGCTCCCAATTGCATTGGAAGTTTTTCCCTTGTGGATTGTTGGGGTTTGGGTGGGTGGATTATGATTTGTAGTAAATAAAAGTCTTGGTAGTTCCGCTTGCTACAGGTAGTCCTCAACTTATGACTTAATAACCCCTGATTCGCAGTTACTTTGGCTCAGCCATTGTACTTTGAAGCTTGTAAAGCACTTCTGGCCATCCTAAAATGACGCACTCCGTGCTCCTCCCATAGACACATGACCCTATTTTGAGCACTTGGCAACCAGCTCACATTTTGGAGTGGTTGTAATGTCCTGTGGTTATGTGATCATGACTTGTGATATATTTTTTTGCCAGTTTCCATCAAAACAAAACAAAACACCGATTTGGGAGAATGGATTCAGACTTACAACTCTGATCCGTTTAAGAATTGCTATAAAAATGGTTGTAAAGTAAGGTCTGGTCACGTGCGTGCCTTGACTTATGACTGTCACAACCTGAAATTTTAGTCCCAATTATGATTGCAAATCAAGGATTACCTGTATGGTTTCTTGGTGACTTGAGTCACCATGTTGGGCTCAGCGTGGCTTAACCTAACTGTGAATGTTGAGTAATTTATTCTGAATTACATAGTTTTTTATTGCAGGTTTTTTAAATGAGCGTTTTTTGCACCTCAGAGAGGAGGAAGGCATTTTCACCTTTTCAGCAAAAAGTTTTTAAACTCCCACCTTTGCCTTCCCTTTCCTTGCATTATGAATTGCCACATAAATCCACACTAGTTCTGATGCTTGTTAACTTTCTGTTGCTTTTGCTCTTAAACAGCAGCTCTGTTGGCAGGAAGGAAATCACAGGAACCTCTGGGAAAGGTGAGCAACTGCTTTCCTCTCTATGATCTCTAGAGCAGGCCTGTCAAACTGGTGGCCCACGGGCCGGATATGGTCCACACAGGCCACAGCCATCCTGGCTCTGTGAAGGCAAAAAATACCACGATACGGCCCGCAATATGAGTGGGTTTGACACCCCTGATCTAGAGCCATGGGGAAAATTCTCTTCTCTTTTTATTATTTTGGAGTATAGCTAAACTTGCCCCCCTCCCTATGTCTGTCAATATCAGTGAGAGTGCAAATCAATCAGATAGTGTAGATCAGGGGTGTCAAACTCAATTTGCATCAGGGTTATGTTTGACCTTAGTGGGGGTGTTGCCAGGGTGGGCGTGGCCAGTTCAACATCATTTGTGTCAAGGGTACCTGTGGTGGCTATAGCGCTCTGCCAGAGAAAACGGGCTCCCAAACTCCATTTTTGGCTGTGATGGCCACCTGCAACCCTCTGCCAGTGAAAACAAAGCTGAGGAGGAGCCTCCCAAGCTCCGTTTTCGCTGGCAGAGACACCGCGAAGGTCCTTCATTGTTTCTAGGGTGGCCCCGCAGGCCAGATCTAAGCACCCTGCAGCACCCTACGGGCCTTGAGTTTGACACCCCTGGTGTAGATCAAACAGTATGGTTTGTTTATCTTTCAGTAATGGTTCGACCCACTTTTTGCCTTCATCTGTTTTGTAGCCCATTTTGTCACCACATAAAAAAAAAAATCCAACCTGCTCAGTGCACACAGCATTCATATGGAATAACATTCATCAAAATTATCTCAAGGTGGTATACGTAGTCCTTGGCTTACAATAGTTCGTTTAGTAACCGTTCAAAGTTCCAGTGGCACAGAGAAAAGCGACTTATGACTGTTTTTCATACTTAGGATCTTGCAGCATCCCATGGTCATGTGATCAAAATTAAGACACCTGGCAACAAACTCATATTAATGAAGGTTGCAGCGTCCCAGGGATCATGTAATCCCCCTTTGCAACCTTCTGAGAAGCAAAGTCAGTGAGGAAACCAGATTCACTTAACAACCCTGTTACTAACAGAAAAACTGCAACGTTTCACTTAACAACTTGTGACAAGAAAGGTGGTAAAATGGGGCAAAAGTCATTTAATGTTTCACGAAGCAGCAGAAATTTTGGGCCCAATTGTAGTCATAAGTCGAGGACTACCTGTATTGAGGTTTCAAGCAACACTTGCTTTTCCTTGATACAGACCAGTTTTTCCAACCTGGTATCATTCAGGTGCATTTGATTTTAGCTCCCGTGATTTGCCTCCAATGTGACCTTGATTCCAAAGTATTGGATGGTACCTGTTTAGGGAAAACAGCTATAAAATAAGACTAGAGTTAGTCCTCTGGTTATGTCCATTTGTTCAGCAGCCATGATTGAAAGCTACAACATCCCAAAGGTGTTTTTTCAAGAGGCAACTGGGATTTCTCAGGGTTGTTGTTTTTTTTGAAGATGTTTCGCTTCTCATCCAAGAAGCTTCTTGAATGAGAAGGGAAACGTCTCCAAAGAAAAACCAGAAAATCCAGTTGCCTCTTGAAAAAAAAAAAACACCTTTGGGACAACCATGACCTGGATGACTGAGAATCTCCGTAGACAAAGCTACAGTGGTGCTGAAAAAGATGGACTTATGCTGGGTCCTTAAACTTGCGGCCATTGCCACGTCTCTATGGTCATGTGATCAAAATCTGGATGCTTGGGGATTGGCCTGTACTTACAATGATTGCGGCATTGTTTGGTCATATTCTGCCCTGCCCTGCTTCCATTTCAACTCCCCCCACCCCCCATTTGCCTATTTCCTTGCCTATCTCTGCAGGGGGCCAGGAGAAGTACGAGGTCCTTGCCTAACAACCACAACTGGGGCCGCCAGGACTGGCTGTCCCTAAAAACGTGCAGCCACGTGCCGTTTTATTTAAGGGCTGCTTCGCTTAGCCAGTGGTACAAGTGAGGTCATAACTCAAGGACTGTCTGTAGTTCAGCTCAAGCTGATTTGGTGTCGCTCCTTATCTTTTATCCTTACAGAGGAAAAGTTCACGCCAGATGCAGCAGCGAAAGCAAGCATCCTTTTGAACATAGGCTTGAGCCACTCCAGCTTTGGAGCCACAGGCAAAGTGAGCCTGGCCCAGCGAGTACCACTGAAGGATGCTCGGAAACCACCAGGAAGGTGCGACAATATGCAGGTGAGCAACGTCAGATCTCTTGGCTTCCCTCGGTAATCCTAGATGCAGGAGGACACCTGCCTTGCATATGTACAACTTGTGCCTTCTCCTCACCCTGTTATCTAGTCACAACACTTGTCTAGTGTCTAGTGTCTCGACTTACAACAGTTTGTTTTGTGACTGTTCAAAGTTACAATGGCACTGAAAAAAAGTGACTAACGACTAATGACCATTTTTCACACTTGCAACCATTTGCAGCATCCCCCATGGCCACGGGATCAAAATCCAGACGCTTGGCAACCGACTCATATATTTATGATGGTTGCAGTGTTCCAGGGTTACGGGGTCACCTTCTGTGACCTTTTGACAAGCAAAGTCCATGGGGAAGTCGAACTCCGTTAACAATCATGTTACTAACTGAAGAAGTGCAGTGATTCACTTAACAAATGTGGCAGGAAAGATTGTAAAATGGGGCAAAACTCACTTTAACAAATGTCTTGCTGAACAAATGTCTTGCTTAACAATGAAAATTTGGGGCTCAACTGTGGTCATAAGTTGAGGACTACCTGTAGGTTTTTTTTTAATTTGTTTTATTAGTATAATATACGTGTAAAAAAACCATTTCAATCGGACAGTGTGTTGTCTGGGTACAATTATTTTTAGGTAATCATAATCAAAGCGTTTACAATACCATATATGTTTGTCCATTTTAACAAATTTCTGTTTTAACATTTAGACTACCTGTAGTTGTTGACGGGGTTGCTAAGTAGGTTTCAACTTAGGAGGAGGAGCATTCATCTGTGGTGGATGTTGGGCACTCACTTTGATTCCTGTCCCTAGGGAGAAGGTCTTTCCCTGTCGCAGCCCCGCACAGCTGTTATGTCAGCAGGGAAGTATGGCCGTGTGTCCTGCTATACTACTCCAGGCACTAAAGGTACCATTTATAGAGCAGTTGGAACTTCCTTTCAATTTTGGAGCTTTTCACGACTGCATCTCCCTGATTTCTAACTTCTGCCTTGCCTGTTTTTCAGGTCTAGAGAAGTTGGAAGCTTCTGGAACCCAACAAACAAATACACCATTTGGAAGGTGTTCCATTATTGAAGGGTCACCTTATGGACTGGCCAGAAGAGTTCCTATTACTAACTCTCAATCCTTGGTTTGTACTTGAGGCAAAGTACCTGAGAATGTCTGAACTGGATCCTTAATATCTAGCTAGTTCTTGATAATAATTTGAAGGTTGATAAACCTGGATATGTTTAACACTGCTGGGTTCTTAGAGACAAAGATTTAGTACTTTGGTTCATATGTAAGCTGAGCATGTCCACTCCCAACCCATATTAATAATGTTAGCTTGTTTTTTGCTTGTCCAAGCATAATTCAACATTGATGGCTTTTAATCCATAAAGCCGCCTTTCTCTTGAAACCAAACATGTCTCCTTGCTTCTCTACTACGGGTGGGAACTTGTGGCTCATCGGAGCTTGCTGAACTAGAAGTCTCGCCACCCCTCACCACTTATTACGCTGAGTGAGGCTGGTGGGATTTGTAATTCACAATATGCATTTTCCCTACAATGCATAGAGATGTATCTGTAGAATTATTATCTTTACATTCTCCTTCGTTTACACTCACCTTTAAAAGGTGTGCAGGGGTCAGCAGGTGGAAGATGGTGGCATTTTGGTGATGTCACTTGCTCAGTGATACCAGATTAGCACTGCTGCTTTTAGTGACAGGCCCAAATATTTTAGTTTCTTCTTATATTTAGTTGTTGTTGTTGTTGTTGTTTCTTCTTCTTCTTCTTCTTCTTCTTCTTCTTCTTCTTCTTCTTCTT